AATAAATGAACTTTTTGCGTATGTAGAAATTTCAAGGTATCAGGATACCTTGAAATTTCTACATACGTAGACACATATAATATTTTGACTTTTGTTATCCATTTCAGATATGAAGGTAGTGGATTATTTATAGCAAAAAAATTGCAAAATAACAATAATGGAAGACAAATCACAGAAACTAAAAACACCGTAACCTAGAAATAAAATATTGTTTAATAAATGAATTTTCTTGCGTATTGTTTAATAATATAAAATAAAATATTGTTTAATAAATGAACTTTTTGCGTATGTAGAAATTTCAAGGTATCAGGATACCTTGAAATTTCTACATACGTAGACACATATAATATTTTGACTTTTGTTATCCATTTCAGATATGAAGGTAGTGGATTATTTATAGCAAAAAAATTGCAAAATAACAATAATGGAAGACAAATCACAGAAACTAAAAACACCGTAACCTAGAAATAAAATATTGTTTAATAAATGAATTTTCTTGCGTATTGTTTAATAATATAAAATAAAATATTGTTTAATAAATGAACTTTTTGCGTATGTAGAAATTTCAAGGTATCAGGATACCTTGAAATTTCTACATACGTAGACACATATAATATTTTGACTTTTGTTATCCATTTCAGATATGAAGGTAGTGGATTATTTATAGCAAAAAAATTGCAAAATAACAATAATGGAAGACAAATCACAGAAACTAAAAACACCGTAACCTAGAAATAAAATATTGTTTAATAAATGAATTTTCTTGCGTATTGTTTAATAATATAAAATAAAATATTGTTTAATAAATGAACTTTTTGCGTATGTAGAAATTTCAAGGTATCAGGATACCTTGAAATTTCTACATACGTAGACACATATAATATTTTGACTTTTGTTATCCATTTCAGATATGAAGGTAGTGGATTATTTATAGCAAAAAAATTGCAAAATAACAATAATGGAAGACAAATCACAGAAACTAAAAACACCGTAACCTAGAAATAAAATATTGTTTAATAAATGAATTTTCTTGCGTATTGTTTAATAATATAAAATAAAATATTGTTTAATAAATGAACTTTTTGCGTATGTAGAAATTTCAAGGTATCAGGATACCTTGAAATTTCTACATACGTAGACACATATAATATTTTGACTTTTGTTATCCATTTCAGATATGAAGGTAGTGGATTATTTATAGCAAAAAAATTGCAAAATAACAATAATGGAAGACAAATCACAGAAACTAAAAACACCGTAACCTAGAAATAAAATATTGTTTAATAAATGAATTTTCTTGCGTATTGTTTAATAATATAAAATAAAATATTGTTTAATAAATGAACTTTTTGCGTATGTAGAAATTTCAAGGTATCAGGATACCTTGAAATTTCTACATACGTAGACACATATAATATTTTGACTTTTGTTATCCATTTCAGATATGAAGGTAGTGGATTATTTATAGCAAAAAAATTGCAAAATAACAATAATGGAAGACAAATCACAGAAACTAAAAACACCGTAACCTAGAAATAAAATATTGTTTAATAAATGAATTTTCTTGCGTATTGTTTAATAATATAAAATAAAATATTGTTTAATAAATGAACTTTTTGCGTATGTAGAAATTTCAAGGTATCAGGATACCTTGAAATTTCTACATACGTAGACACATATAATATTTTGACTTTTGTTATCCATTTCAGATATGAAGGTAGTGGATTATTTATAGCAAAAAAATTGCAAAATAACAATAATGGAAGACAAATCACAGAAACTAAAAACACCGTAACCTAGAAATAAAATATTGTTTAATAAATGAATTTTCTTGCGTATTGTTTAATAATATAAAATAAAATATTGTTTAATAAATGAACTTTTTGCGTATGTAGAAATTTCAAGGTATCAGGATACCTTGAAATTTCTACATACGTAGACACATATAATATTTTGACTTTTGTTATCCATTTCAGATATGAAGGTAGTGGATTATTTATAGCAAAAAAATTGCAAAATAACAATAATGGAAGACAAATCACAGAAACTAAAAACACCGTAACCTAGAAATAAAATATTGTTTAATAAATGAATTTTCTTGCGTATTGTTTAATAATATAAAATAAAATATTGTTTAATAAATGAACTTTTTGCGTATGTAGAAATTTCAAGGTATCAGGATACCTTGAAATTTCTACATACGTAGACACATATAATATTTTGACTTTTGTTATCCATTTCAGATATGAAGGTAGTGGATTATTTATAGCAAAAAAATTGCAAAATAACAATAATGGAAGACAAATCACAGAAACTAAAAACACCGTAACCTAGAAATAAAATATTGTTTAATAAATGAATTTTCTTGCGTATTGTTTAATAATATAAAATAAAATATTGTTTAATAAATGAACTTTTTGCGTATGTAGAAATTTCAAGGTATCAGGATACCTTGAAATTTCTACATACGTAGACACATATAATATTTTGACTTTTGTTATCCATTTCAGATATGAAGGTAGTGGATTATTTATAGCAAAAAAATTGCAAAATAACAATAATGGAAGACAAATCACAGAAACTAAAAACACCGTAACCTAGAAATAAAATATTGTTTAATAAATGAATTTTCTTGCGTATTGTTTAATAATATAAAATAAAATATTGTTTAATAAATGAACTTTTTGCGTATGTAGAAATTTCAAGGTATCAGGATACCTTGAAATTTCTACATACGTAGACACATATAATATTTTGACTTTTGTTATCCATTTCAGATATGAAGGTAGTGGATTATTTATAGCAAAAAAATTGCAAAATAACAATAATGGAAGACAAATCACAGAAACTAAAAACACCGTAACCTAGAAATAAAATATTGTTTAATAAATGAATTTTCTTGCGTATTGTTTAATAATATAAAATAAAATATTGTTTAATAAATGAACTTTTTGCGTATGTAGAAATTTCAAGGTATCAGGATACCTTGAAATTTCTACATACGTAGACACATATAATATTTTGACTTTTGTTATCCATTTCAGATATGAAGGTAGTGGATTATTTATAGCAAAAAAATTGCAAAATAACAATAATGGAAGACAAATCACAGAAACTAAAAACACCGTAACCTAGAAATAAAATATTGTTTAATAAATGAATTTTCTTGCGTATTGTTTAATAATATAAAATAAAATATTGTTTAATAAATGAACTTTTTGCGTATGTAGAAATTTCAAGGTATCAGGATACCTTGAAATTTCTACATACGTAGACACATATAATATTTTGACTTTTGTTATCCATTTCAGATATGAAGGTAGTGGATTATTTATAGCAAAAAAATTGCAAAATAACAATAATGGAAGACAAATCACAGAAACTAAAAACACCGTAACCTAGAAATAAAATATTGTTTAATAAATGAATTTTCTTGCGTATTGTTTAATAATATAAAATAAAATATTGTTTAATAAATGAACTTTTTGCGTATGTAGAAATTTCAAGGTATCAGGATACCTTGAAATTTCTACATACGTAGACACATATAATATTTTGACTTTTGTTATCCATTTCAGATATGAAGGTAGTGGATTATTTATAGCAAAAAAATTGCAAAATAACAATAATGGAAGACAAATCACAGAAACTAAAAACACCGTAACCTAGAAATAAAATATTGTTTAATAAATGAATTTTCTTGCGTATTGTTTAATAATATAAAATAAAATATTGTTTAATAAATGAACTTTTTGCGTATGTAGAAATTTCAAGGTATCAGGATACCTTGAAATTTCTACATACGTAGACACATATAATATTTTGACTTTTGTTATCCATTTCAGATATGAAGGTAGTGGATTATTTATAGCAAAAAAATTGCAAAATAACAATAATGGAAGACAAATCACAGAAACTAAAAACACCGTAACCTAGAAATAAAATATTGTTTAATAAATGAATTTTCTTGCGTATTGTTTAATAATATAAAATAAAATATTGTTTAATAAATGAACTTTTTGCGTATGTAGAAATTTCAAGGTATCAGGATACCTTGAAATTTCTACATACGTAGACACATATAATATTTTGACTTTTGTTATCCATTTCAGATATGAAGGTAGTGGATTATTTATAGCAAAAAAATTGCAAAATAACAATAATGGAAGACAAATCACAGAAACTAAAAACACCGTAACCTAGAAATAAAATATTGTTTAATAAATGAATTTTCTTGCGTATTGTTTAATAATATAAAATAAAATATTGTTTAATAAATGAACTTTTTGCGTATGTAGAAATTTCAAGGTATCAGGATACCTTGAAATTTCTACATACGTAGACACATATAATATTTTGACTTTTGTTATCCATTTCAGATATGAAGGTAGTGGATTATTTATAGCAAAAAAATTGCAAAATAACAATAATGGAAGACAAATCACAGAAACTAAAAACACCGTAACCTAGAAATAAAATATTGTTTAATAAATGAATTTTCTTGCGTATTGTTTAATAATATAAAATAAAATATTGTTTAATAAATGAACTTTTTGCGTATGTAGAAATTTCAAGGTATCAGGATACCTTGAAATTTCTACATACGTAGACACATATAATATTTTGACTTTTGTTATCCATTTCAGATATGAAGGTAGTGGATTATTTATAGCAAAAAAATTGCAAAATAACAATAATGGAAGACAAATNCCTCCTTTTCGTATTAGTTCTTTGTTTTGTATAACACGGATTCGCATAACACGGCAATTTTTTGGAACGTAACTACCGTGTTATACGGGGGTTACCTGTACTATGTGATAATTTTCATTGAGGAATAGAAAAATACACAATTTTCAATATTTAAATTTTAATAGTAATTAAAAATCATATCAACAAATCATAAAACTTTTTTTCGCATTACAAAATTTTACAGTAATGAAAGTAATAATTATGTCAAATGCTGTTTATAATTAAATGTGGTCATATATAGAAATAATTTGTCGTTTTTCGTTTTGAGGATACACCGAAGATTCTGGAAATTGTCTGGAATAAACTGCATACAGTTATCTGCAAATTTTTGAAATTATGGATATGTATGTTATCGTATTTCTGAGAGTAATTTTTTGACTTCATTTTAATCTTGATACACTGTAGCGTAGACATAAATATCCAACAATTCGTAAAAAAATTAAAGAAGATCCCAGAATGGCAAAATTTGTGTAAATGTCATTATTTCTAATTTTAAGAATTTTTACAATAAATTCGGGAGTAAACAAGCATAACTGACTACACTCTAAACGTTCTCTTCCAAATCCGTAGACACATATAAGCATTCCTTCATAGCTCAGAGCAAATGGTGAGACTTTTGTTATCCATTTCAGATATGAAGGTAGTGGATTATTTATAGCAAAAAAATTGCAAAATAACAATAATGGAAGACAAATCACAGAAACTAAAAACACCGTAACCTAGAAATAAAATATTGTTCAATAAATGAATTTTCATTGCTTAACTCTAAATTATATTAAAAATACAGTAAAACGACGTGCTCCAAAATCTGAGATAACTTGTTTCATCAAGAAGCGGTTTTGTTAAAAAGTAATGACGAAAATTTAATGAATGCAGAATATATGAAGCAGTAGAACTACATATTGTATGCAGTGTTCTAGATAATACTACACAAGCTACAGTATAGGCAATCTTATGAAGATTATTTGTCAAATGTTATATAGGGCCTACATTATATCGCAAGAAACTTATTTCTTAGCAGTTTACGTGTATTTCTGTATGCCGTCTTAAATTCTTCATGTAAATTAATGTGAAATGTTCAGTTGCTTTCTCTGTTTTAATGTTTTTGGTAAGATGATACGAGGTACCTTCAAATGTTTCTTTAGTTTAATCACACACGCCCTCTTTCCAGCAAAACTCATCGCACAATACTACATATTTTTTCTGTTTCTGGTTTTTGTTGGGGTTTATATTTCAAACCAGTTTCAGTATTTTTACCTTTTCTACTTTTAATCTAGTCCAGATATATGTAATGCAGTTAGGTTCATTTTTATATTAATATCACTTATATACGGCAACATAAAACCTATTATTACTAGGCTTAATCCTGATTAATCCAAAGTGATTCCAACTAAAAATGTAAGTACTCAAATGCAAGAATTAATAACTATTGAAAAAAGTTTTTGTTGTTCGCGACAACCTGTGCTAGGTATTCAAATGTCAGTAACAACATGGCAAAAAAGGTAATTTGAGTTTCAAAAAGTAGCGCTGACTTTTTCATCAGAAATCGTATTACGATAATACAGACATGAAGTCATTCTGTGATCTGACTTCGCAAAGATGTTTGCTTCTGTAATAATCCACTTTTTTAAATCTCTGTACTTTTATCTACAACGTTATTTATGTTTTCACATGCTCAGTGCTAAATAATATAAACTATTCTATGTAAGGCAAATTAGCAACATATTTTACCTTACCCTCATTGTTATTACCAGGGCTGTGGAGTGGTGTAAAAATCTACCGACTCCAACTCCAATTTTTCGTCACCATCCAACTCCAACCAGGGACGAACTTGTTACCAAAACAGACCAAGAAATTCTGATGTCATCACGTGAGCTCAGAATAAAAGATTCAATAAATAGAGTTCTAATAAAGATAGAAAGTAGAAACTTTTTATTCCAAAGATAAAAGACTCCTCTAAGTAATCATACCCTCAATATATAAATATGTATTGGATAATTTTTACTTTCCCGGCTGTTATATATAACAGAGGAAAAGTGTAACGCTCAGTCGAAAAATGTCCCCTCCCAATTATTTTTACATTTTTGGACTCAGGTCTCATTTCTGCACTCAATCTCATTTTTGAACTTTTTGCGTATGTAGAAATTTCAAGATATTAGGATACCTTGAAATTTCTACATACGTAGACACATATAATATTTTGACTTTTGTTATCCATTTCAGATATGAAGGTAGTGGATTATTTATAGCAAAAAAATTGCAAAATAACAATAATGGAAGACAAATCACAGAAACTAAAAACACCGTAACCTAGAAATAAAATATTGTTTAATAAATGAATTTTCTTGCGTATTGTTTAATAATATAAAATAAAATATTGTTTAATAAATGAACTTTTTGCGTATGTAGAAATTTCAAGGTATCAGGATACCTTGAAATTTCTACATACGCAAAAAGTTCGAGGTTTTTTTATATGTGTGGGTGTTAGACTGTGTGTTGGGGCAGGATTTTGTTCACTCTGTTTGAAGCCTAATAATTTCTATGGTCAGAGTGGTCAGAATCAAAGTCAGATGGTTTAACACAGAAGTTAGTTATTAAGTGTCGAAGTGGTTGAACTAAATCATGTCCCCATACACATTCTAACATCTTAGGCGAGAACATTTTTACGGGTTTTACTGTACTATTATAAAATGACAAAAAAGCTTACTTTGAGGGTAGAAACGAATTTTATTTTTTTTATTTTTTTAAATTTTGAACGCTAATAACGTGTAAAATATTTATTAAGAGATATGACACATGACCCCTTTTATGTCTTCACCCTGTCGACCTTTAAGTAAAAACAAAAATTTAATAGTATCAATGCCCTTTTATACGCAAGTTACAGTGCCACATTTCGTTTCTTAATCTTTACCCGTTCTGAGATATTGTTTAATATCTCAAAACAGAAAATAAACAAATTAAACAAATTAGACGCCACACACGCGCACGCTAATTTTTCTCTTTTTATTGGCATTTTTGGGGGTTCGGGAGGTTTCCAAACGCGTAAATTTGCAAAAAGGACTTGGAATGACGAATTTGACACGATTCCAATACTTTTCCGTTTTATATACATAACAAATTGGAAAGTAAAAAGAAGTCGGAGTTGGCGGATTTTTTGACGACTCCAACTGCAACTCCAACTCCAACTCCGACTTCACAGCCCTGGTTTTTACGAATTTCACGAATTACATACATCCCTTTCTCGTTCTCTAAAAGTCAATTCAAAAACATTTGATTCTTCAAAGTGTTTGAGTGTTATACCTTAGTTAATCCCAACATGACTAAATTAACAGACTTTGTATAGTCTCTTAGTTACGTAACCTGTAATTAGTCTACTATGTGATAAGTTGTCTAACATTTGGCGAGATGGTGGTTGACTCAACTTACGACAGTAAGTTGAAGTCGAACATCAAGTAGTTTGCAAATCCGCTCGGTGACAATGACAGTAACGACTGCAAAGTTGGTTTCAGGCTAAACAACATCCGAATTTTATTTAGTCAATAATAGAGCACAATACAAACGGAGAAAGACTTGAACACGCACATTAGGAGTTGCTTAGTAATGTGGCAGTGACATGAGTAATGGCGAGTCAATTCGAACGATAAATTTTTGAGGCAAATATAAAAACGACAGCTGAAGATCTTGATGTGTCATTTACAGCAAAAGACAGGCATAAACTTTGAGCGAATTACACAATTTTACTGAACGCCAGTGGCATTAGACCTTTTAAAACCACAGGCAAATGGAAAAAAAATAAAGATATATTTGTATGTTTTAAGAAACGTATTAAAACAAAAACAGAAATGAAAAACAAAAAGAACTGACAACTAAAAACGAAATGCCACAATTACGAATAGCAGTGCCCACGCATTTCCTGGAAATCTTACATTACATCATTAGTTGCATTGCTCTAGGCATTTTTTCGCATAAAAGTACTTGTGCACTGCAAAACGTTTTAATAACATGCGGTAGGAATTAAGAAGTTAAAAAGGCAGGGATTTTTCATCTTTTTTACAAAAATTTAAATATTAAGAAAATTGAAAAGAAAGGATGCCTGTGTCTTTACATATTGAATTTCTGCATTTTATCTTTGTAATCGTATAAAATACTCATGGTTTCAAAAACAATGTGTTTTTCATACTTTACATTTTAATGAAATTTAATCGGAAAAACGCAGAAAAATAAACATATAAAATTTTAACTGGCTATAAAGGATCTTAAGCTTTATGATATTAACATGGATTTGATTATAATTTGTAGGAATCAATTATATTTGAAGGTCAGGGTAGGAAAAGTTAATTACTTTCGGTGGAGAGCGCGAAATCCGGCCCTCCCTTATTGTGAATGTCAATAAGGTGCTGCTGCTTTATGACTGTTTACAAAAGTTCCTTTCTGGGTCAGAAGTGGGTCAAATTATAGTTTTCTTGTTCCAGTTAACTGGTAAAAATATTTTATTTAACATTTAGTAACTAGTTCTGTTACACATGGTTACATTTATTTTATTTTTAATTTTTTTATGTGACGCAGTCATCGATTCGAAAGGACATTTATGGCTATATCAACCATATCGTTCGAAATAATACAGGAAAACCAAAATTTCTGCACATTGTTAATATAGAAATGTTTTCTGTATGGCAAAATGAAACTATCGAAAAAATATTGCATGGGTCATCAAAATTTCGAAAATTTACGACGTGATGTTGAATGCATAAGTTAAATGCTTTATAACTTAAAATATTGTTACAATTTTATCGAATAAAGATATTAATCACGATAACTGAATAGCATATAATATAATACAGTGGTGGACAAAAGTGTTGGGACACTCAGTATTTTTGAATTTATAGTAAAATAGTTAGAATAAAGTAACTGTTTTCAAAATAAAAGTTATATAAACATAGTTATGAATATTATAAAGTGTACATAGTTTTAAACTAGCATTGCATAATGATATATTCTTAAAAATTTAATGGTTTCCTCATCAAAACAAAAGACAAAAGTATTAGCACATTTAAAGATAATGCTAAAAATATATTACAATTTCTATTTTGTAGTAAATCCGTGGTTCTTAATAATATCTCTTACTCTATCTGGCTTTTAATGCACTAGTTTTTGCCTGATGTCGGAGGAAATTTTATTCCATTATTCAAGGAGGTCTCTGAAATGATCTAAGTTCAATATTTCTTATTTTCTCACTCTATCTATTCTAGTTTTTTCCATAAATATTTGACAGCATTCAAATCTGGTGATTGTGGTGGATGTTTCCGAGTGTGTGATGTATGATAAAGTAGTCTGATAGACAATACGAGCCAAATATTTATAGTCTTTAGTATTTATTGTCTTATAGTAATTTTGGTAATAACAACAACTAGACTGAAATAACAATAATTTTCGAAAATACCTGTTAAATTTGAGAAAATCAGTGGATTTCATATGTCCACCATACTGGGCATAAAAATGACATGGATGAAAATAAAATTTTTAAATACAGGTATCATCAATGTGTCAATACTTTTGTCCAATCAAATCATGTATATAAATATAGTTTCTAAGTCTTCAAAGCCAAAAATACGTAAGTAATATTTTTATTTAGTGTTATTATGTAATAAATAACAAGTACTTTTTACGTGAAAATCTCACAGAGCTATAAGTTTCTCTTACTATTAATTAAATTTATACAAGAAAATTTAATTAAGAAGTGGCTTTTTTCAGATTAATTCTGTTTTATCCAGATTAAGTTACGTTCTGCTTACCTAAAACTATTTTCTGACTCCAACTTGCACAAGTTTCTGGCTTATATTAAAATTCAACGTGGAAAATCGCTGTTCCAAAATATTATTTTATTTAGCACATTTCCATATTATATGAAGTTCACCTTCTTTCTTTATGAGGCAATTTCTGGTAGGCCAATGCATGCCTCATTTTTAAAAAATGTTTTGCATCGGGAACGTTTAGTGGGTCCCTGACAGAGAGTGGCCATGCACACAATTTTTTCATTTCTCTAATATCTGATTAGAGAAATATCTTTCTAATATCTGATTAGAGAAATAGATTATTGATTAAGATTAGGCTACATTCTCTTCTCTAAATGCGTAAGAAAGTTTAAAAATGATAATACTTGTAAAGAAACGCATGTTTAAACTCTGAAAAATGGTCGATGGTAACGGAGGATGGTTCATAGTGAATGGTTGATAGATAGCTATGGATATTACTAGACTGGTCCTGCATGAAATACTCGATGCCCACTAGCAAGTATAAAAGTATTACGACTTTAATGATTGTCTCTCTTCTCACTTTCGTTTCCTTGGGTTTTTACTACCAAGCTCTTTCCAACGGTTAATCTAAATTTGAGAAAAAGTTTTGTTCTTCTAATGGAGATTTCAAACGTTGAATAATAATATGTGTCGTTGGCAATGGGATGAGTTTAACGGAAGTATATGGAAGAAGGTTCCGAGTACATTTCTTTTGGACTTTTGGTATACAAGGTCTGTCCGGAAAGTTTGCGAACTTGTAAATAGAAGTAGTTTGCATTTACCTAGAACAGCGATTCCCAACCCAGGGTACGCGATAGGTTGTTTAGGGATACAGAAAAAAGTTACTTATTATGGAAGAAAAAATAATATATTATGTATCAAAAATTAATAGTATTAAAAAATTGTTAGGTAAAAAATGTTCCTTGAAACAATCACAAACTTCATGATACATTTCAAAATGCAAAACTAAATATAAAAACTTATGCTGCCGAATGTACAATGCAACAGATCAATAAATGTTGCGCAGTCGGTCAATGGTAGTGGGGATACCATTATGTGTGATTAGTAACTATGCTACCAACTTTTGATGGTGGGGTGTGTTACCGTTATTATTATTATCATCTCTCAACAATATCCCCACGTGTTGTTTGAAAAAAGTATACTTTTGTTTATAAAAAGTATTTTTATTGTTAGCAAGGAAAAGGACATAGCTACTTTCTCCAGATTTTCTCTACAAGCGGTAATTTTTTTCATTATTTATTCAGTTATTAATTTTTTATTGACAAGACTATGTCTTGTTTATAAAATCGCACTGCCTGATGTGTTACCAGCTTAGACGTATGAAGGAGTACTGTATATGTCAGGAGTTGAAATTTCGCACAGAGTATTAGGTGTCCAAATCATGCGCGCATAAAAAATAACCGGACTTGTAGATAATGGGGGACCGAGAACCGAGTCAAAATAAAATACAAAATGGCGACACTCTCTACAAACAGGCAGTAGTGCGATATTTGCGCA